AGAGAGAGAGAGAGAGAATTAGCCTTCCCCTTTTATGAAAAGTTGTGACTTTTATGAAAATTTGCTATTTTTATGAAGAGTTGTGACTTTTATGAAAGGTAGTGAGTGACCTTCTCTAAAGGTTGTAACTTTTTCAAAGAGTTGTGACCTTTCCGATAAGATACAAGAAGCATTTGTTCGCATTATACTTTGTTGTCTATAAATAGAGGAATTTTTTCTCACTTTAGAACAACGAAAATTTTGAACTTCTTCTTCTGAAAAATCAAATATTTGTGTATTTTGCTTCTGTTGGATGACTCACTGGCATCATTGCTTTTGTATCAATACACTAGTGAATAGAATAGTTTTAACCTAAGAGGGTCTATTTCTTTGAACATCAGGTACTAGTGGGGAATAAACTTTTTTAAGGAGACATCGTACATTCAGTGGGCTAAATTATTTCCATTCTTTTTATTCTGTTGTTACAGGTCCTGGTATATTTTTACGGTCATTAAGTTATACATATATTATTAATTGATATTTTTGAGAACATGCTTCTGCAAAGTTATTGTTGTAAGTATTTATTAGTACAAATTAATTAACAAATTTTAATTGAGTATTAAAACACGTTTTCTATATTGAAAGTGTTGAAGGTACAATTAAAAAAAACTTATAAATCTCTAATTTCATCATAAAATGCGTCATTCCTTCACATACAAAGATGAGATGTTGTGTTCTTTAGAAATTCTCTAAAAGTTAATAACTTTGCATGTTCATATTTTTAAGTTTTTATGTTGTTGTTATCTATTTTTACTAATTTTACCAATGGATATTATGAGTACTTTAAGAATTGAAAGTTGAATAAAGTGTTAGTCAATTTTTTAAGGTATGTTATTTTAAAATAGAGGAACTTTTCTGATTAGAATGATTTGTTATCATCATTGAATATCTCAAAGTTTACTACCGTTAATGTATGCTTTTTCTCGTTGTTTTGTTGTCTCCTTAAAAATGTATTGATTATTTTTCGTTTCATAAGTATATGATCTCAATTGGAAAAAACTTTCGTCCTTTTAATGTTTTTCTTTGTTTCCTCTCATTCGGCTTTTTAAAATATTTTTGGTGTGAGTTATGACTATTTTCGGCAAGCTTAATTTGAAGAATATGAAATAATATCTACTCTAAATAAAAGTAATATTTTAAGATACAAAAGATATGTACATTAACATAGATTTGTTGTCCTTTATGTCTCAAGTCATTTCTGAACGTTTGAGTTATCTAGGTTAGACTTATTTTTATTTTTTTTATGTTCGAGAATATTTCTTTATCATGAGTCTAGATACCAAAATTTTGATATACTTGTACTTTCGTAATGCAACAATACATACATATTTTTGCAAAAGTCATAAACTTGCATTGATAAAGCATTTAGAAGGACCTTCAGCGTAGCAGTTTAATGAAGAATGAATTTCTAAAAGGTCAACAAATTATTTTGTTGTTTCAATTTTTTTTCTCCTTCTATAAATATTTTTAGAATAATAAAGTAACAATAATGAAATGTATTGAACTTTTGATCTCAAACAAGTTGATTGTCTCTAAAAAAATTTATTTATGTTATTGTCCTATACATTTTAACGGTTTTAACTTATTTATAAATAATATTGATTATTGAAAACTTTCACATAAATATTTTTTCAAAAGGAGTTATTCTAACCGTAAAATTATCAAATTATATATTTTTCATATAAAAAGAAAATAGAAAAAATGATGTTTGATTGCTGCATAAAAATATTACTCAATTTTAACAAGATAATTATATCATCAAACATATGCTACGATAATTATGTAAAAAACAAAAATAATTAAATATCAAAATATTTTATATCATTCATATTATATTCTTTTTAAAAAATTGTTTCATGAAGTAAGAAAATACAAATAATATAAAAAATGATAAAATGATATTGAAGACAGAGAATTTATTTTTTTAAATTTCTTTTGGGAACCTACATCAAGTCTTTAGAATTCCATTGCTCTCTGCTGCAAGGCCATTGAAAGTGGTGCTCCGCGCCAAAATCCTCCCTTCTCTTGGGTGACATTGTTCGGGTTGGACTACTGATTTGTGCTCAGTTTTGATGGGTTCTAAGAGAAAATCCAAGAGCTCAAACCATTTCAAAAAACGAAACCTAGGTTGTGATGATTCTGGCATTTTCCAGCATCTTATCTCAGTCCTTCAAACTCCACAGGTGCTTTACAGTTTCATATGATTTATCTTTTATTATTGGTTTGCCCTTTTCCATAATTTCTGTTTACAGGGTTTGTTTGTGTTCTAATTTTCCTCTTTTCTTTTCTGGGGAAGGGGTTTTGGGTGGGTATCTGGAAGTGGGTGGGGTTTTGGGGATCAAGATTGTAACTTTGAGAAATTTTGTGTATTTTTTGCTTTTAAGATTTTTTTTAAGCTCATTTTAAGCTCGCCCATGTTGGTATTTTTTGTTGATGACTGTTTATTTGTTTTGTATTCTGCTTATGTTTTTATTTCTTAGTTTGGTTTTCTAATTTCTAGTTCAATGTCTTAGATTCTTTGCAGCACGCTTGTTGATTAGAATTTTTGAGAAAATAGTCAATTTTGTGGGTTTAATTATGATGAAGAGCTTGTTTGGATTGACTCATTTTAGGTGTTTTTGAACTAAAATAGCTTGACAATGTTGCAGATTGCATAGTGACCTCATTCAAAATTTGCTGCAGACTAGTTTGGTTCAGTTTAGCTGTGGATTGACTTGCTTGTTGGTAGAAACATTAGAGATACTTTATATTCAGATTTTGTGGAGTGTTGAATATTCAATTTGCAGTTGTTGGATGCTTTCATGGGTTGTGAAAAGTTCTTATCTTTTTCTTTGGCTTCAGTTCATGCAATTTTTGGCTTAGGATGGAAACTAGACACTAACTTCTTTTCTTACTTTTGTGCTATAAACGAATGTTGGACCCCTTAGCATTGTTGGTTATCGCCATCTTAACAATTTTTAACGGCAAAATACAAATCTAGTTAAGATTCAGTGGCAATTTTACTCCCTAGAGAAATTGGAGAGGGAAGTTGGAAAGCTATTTGAATATGGAATAATTGTGAACGTATACAAACATTACATACTCATATGAAGAAAAGGAAAAAAAATGCATCTTGTGAATAACCTGCCCAAAGAAAAAAAAAAAGAAACATTATGCGATAAGAACAAACTGGTAAAATTGGATTTCAAGGTGAAACTGAAGTCCTCAGTTGATTTCCAAGTACTACTAATCTTTTGGTACTACTGGGGGAGTTTGTCTTGTTAAGTGTTTCCCCTAAAGTACTTTTAAAATGCCTGTTGATAGAAATATGTATGACTAAACTAATCGACAGTCGATATGTTATTTCAATTTCTCTTTTGATTCTAATTTATTGTGCCCCATTCTTCCACCATGCAGGGTGTGAAGTTACCTGTGTTGAAAAGTTTGTATTGTCTGCTTGTCTATTTCTCCTTGAACTCATTAGAAAGTCCAACATATAAACTTGATTTTGATGATTTGGACATGGATGTTGATCACAATGGGTTTAAAGCATCATCAAAGGATATAGAGACCCTCTCTGGCATATTATTTGAAGAAATGTATGAGCGGTTTGACCATTTATTCTCTGCTCCCCGTGATACTTCTGTGAATGATCAGAGACAAGGTATTTTACAGAAGAATATGTCCAAAGATGCTGAAACTTTTTATTTGCTGCTGAGGTGTTGTATGGTAACCTTGACCTTGCTTGTGTCCCAACATAATCTTCTTTTAGAAAAAGGGAAGATCCTTTTGGTGTTGCTCCGAAAGTTATGTTCAATAAACACATTTGCAGCAGGAAATAGGACAAAAATTACTTTTCAAAAATCAGTTTCTCATGCAGTCACATCTGAGGATAATGATTGTAGAACAACCTCCACAGAGGACATTGTTGCATCCCTCCATCTTGTTGAGCCATCTGATCCTCACACTTCTTTCTTGTGTGCAACATTTGAGGTAATTTGCTTATTTATCTCTTGTTGGTTGGTATATGGCTCTCTATTTTTGCTCATGAAGAAATCTTATGCTTCCTTGTCTGTCAAAATAGAATATGATTGACCGTTAATAAGGTCTGAGTGAGTGAGTAACTCAGTGTGTCTTCACTTGTTGTATCACTAGCACTACAATAGGGAGGTAAAGAATTGAAGTCTGATTTAAATCCCGGCCCGAAATGGTCTGATGGGCACTTGTACTTATATGAGTTTGTATTCTGAACCCTTTTACTTAACATTTTACCAACTAAACCCTCAAACCTATTGGGCTTGATATTTCAAACTCTTTTTTTGACCTGTCATCCTATGTGACATTTTTATTCAAAATGCGTGTGATACACATAAAATAAGAGCGTGAGGTCTTGAAAATGTCAAGTTTTGACCTAATTAAGAGTATCTTCTTCCCCATCTATTCATTCACCATTGTTGGACAAAAAAAAAACTTTTTTTTAGGCTTTTCTACTTATCTCCAAATTCTTTCTTCATTTTTTAAATTGTTTCAGGCTGCCTTTCATCTTCTTCAAAGGATTCATTATTTCTTGAACAAATTCAGTCTTTATTACTCTACGAAGAATTTTCACAAGTAACAAATTTCTTTCATTGCTCCAAACAAATTAATAGACTTATCGATCCTATTTTTCAACAAGTATTTCGTTTCCTCTAAACTTAACATATCGTTGGAGCTATCAACAACACCGATTTCTGCAAATCGTCAGAACACAAAATCATTGAAAAAACAAGAACTTAAAAGTTAAATTGATCCAAAATTACAAAGAGGGGAAGAAAAAGAAAAAGAAACATGGAGAATGAGTGAATGAAGAGAATCTGAGTTTGAGTAATTTGGACGAGTCGTGAGATCTAGGGTTTTGGAGCGAGTATCGCAGCCGTTTGGAGCCATTACTGCTTTTTCCAAATCGAATGTGGAGCAGTCACCCTCTTCCATCTTTGAGTGCTAGCTCCACCACCACATTGCGGTGTACAGACGCTCTTGTTGGTATGCGTTTTACTGGTGAAAACCTTTGGAATGAGAGAGGAGGAAGAAAAGAAATCTGGAAGATAATTGGAAAAAGAGAAAAAGACTTTTTCAAATAAAATTTTGGGGCTTTAATTTAATTTTACCATTTTATATCCTACGTGGCTGGTAAAAATGAGGTGGAACGTGAAATGGTAACAGTGGTTCAGTTGGCAAAGGATTAAGTAGAAGGGTCCATAATACAAATTCATACAAGTATAAGAGTCCATTAGACCATTCCGCCTTAAATCTCTGATGAGCAAACGAGAGTGTAGGGTGAGGGTCCTCACTGGGGTTGTAGCCTGTAGGGTGCTTTTTAGTTAACTCAGTGGCATGTCTAAACTAAAAGCTTGATGACGCAGGCTGCATCTTGCGATACTGATCTACTATATTACTCCTCAAAGAAGAAGTATCGGGAGCACAATTTTCTCAGAAAACTTGTATATGCAAAATCTGGTTGAGAGCTGAATGAGTGTGTAGATATTGGAGAGAAGTGCACAACTTTTATCTTCCATGTTAAATATTTTTCTTGCCATGTTCATTCATCTGGGAGAGAAGGGGAGTAAAAGGAAAAAGCGTTAGGCGCTGTCTTTCAGTTAATGATTGGCATGAGTACGCAAGTCAGCATGTATATGATACTAAACTTCTTCTTAAACAGTCATGGACACTCTCAGTATTTCTTAAGAGAAGTTCTTTCACCGCAAAATACCTGTTTCTTTTTGGAGTGTATGAGGTACAAGTATTGCCAGAACCCTAATTTGATCTATAAGATATTTTGTTTCATTGTCAGTGGCATCCATCAGTCTTTGTTAGGTTTTCTAGTTCTCCCAGTTCATTTTTCTTTCTGTTGTACATCTTGTAATTACTGTGGACCTTGCCTCATGTTATGTACTTCACTTAAGATATCTGCTGTAATTTACCCTTTATGGGAAATGCATATGCAGGTTTTTGTGGATGAGCTTCTGGTACATGGACAATTGAGACAGTATTTTAAGCTTATCGATTCTCTAGCTTCTTCTGATGAAGTTTTATTTACGCCTCAATCTGGTCAGGGTGATATAGGAATAGTAATGGAAGTTTTGTCTAGGTACTTCTTATTATCATGGTCTAATGAGCTTAGGTCTGGAGATCATCTTAACAGATTATTATTGGTAAACAATGAATATTTCAAATCTTCATTAAAAGCTCATGAGTTGAGTCTGTCTGCGGCCATATCTCTGCTTCTCAACCCGATCATTCTTTCTGCCCCAAAACTAATGCAAGCACAATTGATTTCAATGATTCACGAGGCCACCTTTCTGCTAGTAGATATTCAAAACCTTAAGACAAATCATAGACCTCTCAAATTCTTCCTCTCACTGTTTGAAAAATCCGTAGCTTTGTACATGAAGCACTTGTCCGTGTTGCAAAATGCCTGTCAGTCTTCATCTGTTAGTCATTCTTCTACAACAGGTGTAGAAGGGAAGGGTATTCATCCCCTTTTTGAATTGTGTATATTAGCAAGGACAAGAAATGAGATCAATAATTTAGTTTTGAAGTTTGAGGATTCATCACAACCTCACTTTCTTAAACTTTTTTTTGAAATGAAATCTGACCTGATAAGTTCCTGTGTTAACTATGTAAAAGAGAGTCGCTATCTTCTAGAGAACTCCTGCCAGGATGAGATTATGTCCACCTTAAGTTGCCTAATTTTAAGAGCTTCGGACAGTTTCGAAGAGAACGCAATAGTGGATGCAAGTCTGGAAGATATTTGCCTTCTGGTTTCTACACTGAAGCTAATGAGCTCTTCCTTGTTACAACTGGTCTGGTGCCTCAGATGCAACTTGAATTCTGCTTCTTCAAAAACCTTGAAAGATTTTTCATCCTGTGGGGAATACAATTCTATCTTGGGAATAATTGACTGTTTTAGAGAGCTCAGCATATACGGTTCAGTCCAAAATTTATCACGCCAAATGATGGAAATAGACTCTGAGAAGCATAAAGTTTCCAAGATGATGTTTCTTCATTTTTCAGGAATGCTTTCATTCAGTTTCTTTAAGAGGCTTGATTGTTTAGCAAAAGGCTGCTTGTTTGCTGTTATAACTCTGCTGAATTTATTCATCTTTGAAGAAGGTAATTTGGATATATTCCAGTCACTAGTTGATCCAACTCCAGACTCCTTTTCATATGGATTATCGGCTGTTAGAATCCAGGAGGTCAGGTTTAATCTTTTTTGCTCTTGAAAGAATATATAGCCTACATTATTGTAATTCAAGCTGTTAGTGCATAATACAGGCTGTAGTGGACAAGAGATCTAGTCTTGTGGTTGCATCAAAGTTTCAGAAGGCAAGGACTCTGTGTTCAAGTTCCAGGTACTGATATAGTACCATCACCATGTATCATTTATGAGCTTGAGGCCATACGTTTGCTTGCTTCCACTTTGCTTGTACTAAATCTGCATTTGCATGAAATCTGGCTAACTTTGTTGGCATAAAGACCTCTGTTTGTACCTTGTGTTATGAAGTCTCTCATTCTTCAAATATACTCTCAAGCTTCCATGCGTACTGACCAGCTTTTAAGCCTTCTTCTTGACTTTTGTTATTTAAGTTAAATTAACATTTGTCTCTCTATTGAACCTAAGCTTTATGGACATATCGTCCACTCTTTCTGTCCCAAAATCTGCCTTACCTATATTGCCATTAGATTTTCTGATGTAGAGAACTCAATTCGATCCTGCCTTTTGATACCTAACTTGTATGTTGATCATATTCCTTATAATTCCTTATTTTCTCTAGCATTATTTACTGTGGAAAACTGATACTATAGAAGTGTTGGCGTGTTAGCTCTAATGTGGTTTCCATCTATTTTTGTGAGCAATTAATCTATTCTGGAACAGACATGTGCTAAGATGTTCCTTTTAATTTTTAAGACTTTTATTAGTTAAAATTATAGTTGTTTCAGTCATGAGCTAGACATCTTTCAAATTTAGCTTTGTTAGGAGTTATCTTTGTAGAAGAGCTACAACCATCAATCAGTGATAAGCCAATTAACTAAGGCAAACACAAATTTGGATGAGAGACGAATTTCAAAGGGATAGCAAGATCATATAGCATAGAATTATCTTTCTCAAAGTTGTGTTACTATGAAACAACTTAATCCCACATAGTGTTTCGGGAAGTGAGAAGCAGAAAAAAGGGTAACCCTCGTTCACTTCTCACTTAAAGAGAGCGCTTCAGTGCTTTTAACAACATTGATCCCACGGGATATTCTCCCCAGAAACGTGAAAGTGAGACTTCAAGGTAAAAAGTAGCCTAACATTATAACAATATGAAACTGATGACATGTATTTTAGGTTAGATTTTTATCTCTTGTACGTATGGTTGTATTTTTTTTCTGGTATTATGGTACCAAGCTAGTATTATGCTGGATGTTATACCGGAGGGAATGTTGGGCCGCTTAAGTCCAGCACATCCACAAGATGAGTGTCGTAGAGATTCGGATGCTGAGATGAATGTGTGGTCATACAAATTAGACAAGATTAGAAATGACCACATTTGCGAGAAAGTTCAAGTAGCACACATCAAGGATAAAATGATAGAAGGTCGCTTGAGATGGTATAGTCATGTCTTGCACCGATTGTAGATGCACCAGTCTGTAGATATGAAATCTTTGTTAGGAAGGTGTTAAGAGGGTCGAGGTAGATCTAAGGTCACTTGGAAAATACCTATAACAGATGACTTGGAGGAAATATGTCTTGAAGAACCTACAATTTCTTCGAATCCATGCAGACTTAGCAAAAGGTAGTGCACAATGGAAGAAAAAGATCTATATAGGAGATACTTAGTAGTTGAGAATATGTGTTAGTCATGTTAGCACATGTAATTTATTCCTGTGCCTTTCTAGGAGTTGTTTAGTCTTTTGGAAATTTATACGGAACTTCTAGGTTTTTTATTTTCTTAAAATTGAAGTTCTAGCTGTTGCAGGTTGTAATTTTGTATTTCATTGTTATCTTATTTACTTACCTCACCTTCCTCCTTTACCCCTCCTGCTTACCTTATTCTCTGACTGATAAACACAGAAGGAAGGGATATAGCTCAGCAATAAGCAGTTCTGAGGTTTATAACAAAGAAGATGTGGTAGCAATGGAAGAGGAGATGGAGGAAACTACCAATGGGAAAATATTTCTCAAGTGCAGATCAGAAGCTGGACAAGTCCCTGATTTTGATGACTTAGCTGATTTTATCGAGTGCAAGCAAGGAAAGGACTACCCTTTGTGGCTAAAGCATCGCCAAGAATATCGAAAGTTGAAATGTAACAAGATAGCACTGTTAAGGTGGAAAAGGAAAAAGAAATCTTGGAAAGTCATGAAAAGGAATAAACCTTGAACTAACTTGAAGAGTTTTCCTTGGAAAGGAAACTGGCGAGTTGAGCTTCATTGTGTGATCTGGACATATGTTAGGATATCTCCAACTGAACAATTGCTGTAGAATGATGTTTTGACAATGCTTTCCTCAGTGCATGTAAGACAATTGCTTAAAGAAGATTTTTGTTTAATGTCTGCGGTCGCGTATAAGTAAGGTGAAATCTGAAGACTGATATACTTGGAAGTTCGATCTTAGCAAGTTAACGGAGCTTCTTTTTGTCCTAGTTAAGGCGGTGAAATGGCTATAGAATCCATGAAACATACCGCTGCAACATGATTAAGCTGATATTACATCTTGATTTAGGTATAGCAGATTTTAGCATGCTGAACTCTAACTAGGATCAAGGTACTAGATGCTTTTACAGATAAGTCATTCTGGTTTTGTGCTTCTCTTTTTATGTATATCTAATATTTCATTTTCTCTAGAGAACCCTGAAGTTCTTGTAAAGGAGTCGGGAGGTGTTTGCAGGATTCAGCCTTCTCTGTTCTTGTCTCTTAATGCAAAAGCAACATTCTGATTAAAGCTTTTAAACTGGCGACATCATATGCGCAATCAAAACGAACTTAATATGCAGTACTCCTGTTATTGATTAGAGGAACATTGCAGGTGAGATGTTGACATCATTCGACATTCCATCTTTATTTGTTGTTTCATCAGATGAAGAAAGCCAAGGAAATTATGGTTTTGTATGGCTCTTCTAAGTTGACCATAAGAGCCTGTATTGTAGGATCATGCTTGAAAGTTGGAGAATTCTATGATATTGCACCATCATTGGTATTTTTGTTGAGTACATTCCTGTTAAGTTCCTATCAAAATGCTTTGGAAAGTGAGGTCCAGTTGCCCTAGTCTAATGTGTTCCCTTTTCTTTTCCTACTGATCCTATCAAAGTTAAGGTTAAAGAGATGATTAAACATTGGAATACTGATCTGGTAAATGTTTTGTAATTGTAGGCTAATCTGCCAAAAACCTTTGGACCATTTTGCTGATTCTACTTTCAGCTTTGTGATGGTTTGCAAAGTGTGTGTTGTCTTCATTCGGGGGACCAAATTAACAGTGTCCTCCTTTATTTATTTACTATTATTTAGGGGTAATACAAAATCAAATCGAAAACAGAACCAAACCACAAATTGAGTCAAATTGAAAAAAATTCGACTAGTGGTTTGGTATTGAAAAAAACTTGATTATATTTTGGTTGGTTCGATTTTAACTAAACAAACTCGAGATCAAACCAACCCGATATTATATATGTAATTTTAAAATTTTATTTCATACATAAAAATATTTACTTTGCTATCATTTTAAAATATTTCTTGTACTATTTCATAGTTTTTATCTTTTAATATATTATTTTAAGTTTAAAACATAGAATTTGCAATGGTCTAATAAAGATTATAGTTCATAGATATTAATAATTATAATAAAATTTAAATCAAATCAAATTAATACTAATGCAAAAAGAAAATCAATTCAACACTAAGAATGACAATAATATTGAATATTTGTTCTTTAGTTTTACATTAGACAATTATATTACATAATCAAATTTTATTTTTCCTTAAATATTAGTAATGTAAATAATATTTATTAAACTTATTTTAGCACAATTTAATACTTTTATATTATTCTTATTATTTTCATTATGACTTTATAGAAAAATTTAATTATGTATGAGGGGCAACTTACACTAGTTGTATGAGTGAATACTTTATTACTATTATATTTGAACATGTGGGACCTGCACTTTAGTTTTCTTTCTTTTTTTCTTATTTTTCTTTCTTTATTTTTCTCTTTCCTCTTTATTTTTCTTTAAATTTATTTTGAAACTAATTTAATTACTCTATGATTTTGTATATATGAAAATAATTTTTTAATCTAATTATTTTAGTTGAATTATTAATTTTTTTTATTTTTTAATTAATTCAAAAAGGCACAAGCATAGAAAAGTTCAACTTAATTCTTTAGATGGTCACTTATATCATAAAATTGACCACTAAAATTATTTCTATTTCTTTTCTTCCATTTTTCATTTATAGTACTTTAAAAAATTTTACCTTTGTATTTCATATCATTTTAATGTTTACTTT